AAAAAAAAAAAAACTCTCCTTTTGAAGCCCGAGCTGATTCTCACTGTCCAACTAAAGAGGCCAAACCCACATTATTGGTGGTTTTTTACCACTATCGACAAACCCAGTAGACGGCGCACTACGACGCTCTCCCTAAACTGGCCTTAACACTGAGGTATCAGATTCCAACCTGAGTATCATGAGGGCTCCTCTCTGGAGTTTAATCCTTTAAATACAGGTATTTGTTTCTTCCTCTACTGTCTTATTTGTGTTTTCTGCCCTGCTGGATCTTGGAAAGCAGTCTGTGTAGCAGGGGTGTAAGCCGCTGTCCGGGATCTCCGATCCCCCCGAGTTGGTTGATCAGAAGGATCCAGCACGTTGATCAATTAAAGTCAAAAAGTTAACATTTATTTAGAAGAGAAAAATATTACATGAGCAATTCTCCGCAGATATCTGGCTCTAACTATTGCTTGCAAGCAGGAGGTCGAACACACAAGCACGTATTTCAGCGCTCGCTGTAATGGCGTCTCCGAGCAGTAAACGCTGAGTTTTTATACCCATGTGAAAGACATTCTCAGTGCCAGTTACGAGAAGCTGCAAACCAGGTTGAGATAAGCACCCAGGTGAAGCTGAGTGTAGCACACACACACAGCAAGATCATCCTCAGTGGCCGGTGCAAATCATTAATTGAGATAAAGTAAAAACGTGGATCCGAGAACTTTCGTACCAAACAAGATGTGAACCAAGGCCATGAACAGAAGTCCTTTGTTTTGAAGTGTCTAAGAGATCGAGACGACCGCCCTCCCTTCTCAGGACACAGCTGCAAACTAACATTTTGCATCATGCTGCTCTTTGCACGTCAGGGTCAAATACGGGCACTTAAGACACGGGTTTAGCACAAGACAATGTTATAACATATTTTACCATTACATGCATCTCACACCGCCTACCCCCTGTGTTTCTATATCTGCTAATAAGACAACTCAACTGTTTGAGTAGACTAGTTGTTTCTCATGCAGACTGCTTGCACTCTGTAGGACCATTAAACATTTGATTGAAAAGATTAAAGCTCAAAAAGACAAGATCTGTTTCTGTGATATATCTTTACTTCAGCATCGTCGTACACAAGTCCAACCACACATTTTTTCACCACAGTAGTCAGGAAGCTGGTAAATTATCAGTCATTCATGTATAATACTACTGAAAAGACTTTCCGTGGCAATGTCAGTGTCAGGGGTGCGGGTGGAAGGCAGGACTCAAACGCAGACTTGCGGAAAACAAAAGGACTTTAATAGTCGGAAGGCCAAAAACACAGGAACCGGGAGGAAAAACTGCAGGCAAGAAACTAAAGACATCCACAACAAGAGACTATGACATGCGTGACGAAAGACAATGACGCGACAAGTGACACACGGCTTAAATACACAAGGGAGGTGCAGGTGATTGGACACAGGTGGAAACTATTAGACTAACACAGGGGATGACGAGACAAGGCAGGAAGTGAAGTTACCCGGGGACTCGAGTGGCAGAAAACTACAAAATACAACAGTGCAAGCTGTGACGCCCGTGACAGTACCCCCCCTTAAGGGCCGAATTCCAGACGGCCAACACTAGAGCGAACAAGGGGTGGGGAGGGAGGGAAACCAGAGACGTTGGTCGGACCACCCTGGAAACTCTGGCGGGCG